TCAGTGCTATCCCCATCAAGCTACCAATGACCTTTTTCACAGAACTGGAAGAAAACTGTCTTAAACCTCATATGGAATCAAAAAAGAGCCTGTCTAGCCAAGACAATCCTAAGCAAAAGGAACAAAGCTGGAGGCATCATGCTACCTGACTTCAAACCATACTACAAGGTTACAATAATAAAAAACCATGGCACCGGTATCAAAACAGAGATAGAGACCAATGGAACAGAACAGAGGCCTCAGAAGTAATGCCACATATCTACAACCGTCTGATCTTTGACAAACCTGACAAAATAAGCAATGGAGAAAGCATTCACTATTTAATAAACAGTATGAGGAAAATTGGCTAGCCATATGTAAGAAGCTGAAACTGGATCCCTTCCTTAACCTCATACAAAAATTTACTCCAGATGGATTAAAGATTTAAACATAAGACCTAACACCATAAAAACCCTAGAAGAAAATCTAGGGAATACAATTCAGGACATAGGCATGGGCAAGGACTTCATGACTAAAACATCAAAAGCAATGGCAGCAAAAGCAAAAGTAGACAAATGTGATCTAATTAAACTAAAGAGCTTCTGCACAGCAAAAGAAACGATCATTAGAGTGAATCAGCAACCAACAGAACGGGAAAAAATTTTCAAATCTACTCATCTGACAAAGGGTTAATATCCAGAATCTACAAAGAATTTAAATAAACTTACGAGAAAAAAACAAACAGCCCCATGAAAAAGTGGGCAAAAGATATGAACAGACACCTCTCAAAAGAAGACATGCATGAGGCCAATGAACATATGAAAAAATGCTCATCATCACTGGTCATTAGAGAAATGCAAATCAAAACCACACCGAGATACCAGCTCACACCAGTTAGAAAGGCGATCATTAAAAAATCAGGAGACAACAAACACTGGAGAGGATGTGGAAGAATAGGAACATTTTTACACCATTTATGGGAGCGTAAATTAGTTCAACCATTGTGGAAGACAATGTGGCGATTGCTCAAGGATCTAGAACTAGAAATACCATTTGACCTAGCAATCCCATTACTGGGTATATACCCAAAGAATTATAGATCATTCTTTTTTTGAAAAAGAATAATAAGAAAAAGAATAAAGAAGAGGAAGAAAGAGAAAGAGGAAGAGGGAGAGAGAATGGGGGTATTGCTTTGTTGCCCGGGCTAGAATGCAGTCTAAATATGGGTATGCCTATAATTATCATTAATAATGGAGACATGAAAGAAAATGAGGGAAGAGAGTAACAAACAAGGAGCTAACCAACATTTCGTTTAAACTTCTAAGTTGATATGGTGTGGTACTGATAAGAGTGTATATTTTGTGTAAAGTGGAGAGTTCTATAAATGTTAATTACGTTTACTTGTTCCAGATCTAAGTTCAAGTCCTGGATATCGTTGTTAATTTTCTGTCTCATTGCTCTGTCTAATATTAATGTTGAAGTCTCCCACTATTATTGTGTGGGAGTCTAAGTCTCTTTATAAGTCTTGTATGTCTGGGTATTCCTGTATTGGGTGCGTATATATTTAGGACCTTTAACTCTTCTTGTTGTTGCATTGATTCTTTTATCATTATATAATGTCCTTCTTTGCTTCTTTTGATCTTTGTTGCTTTAAATACTATTTTATCAGAGGCAAAAATTGTAACTTCTGCTTTTTATTTATTTATTTTTGCTCTCTGGTTGGTTGGTAAGTCTCTCTCCATCCCTTGTTTTGAGTCTTTGTGTATCCTTGAATGAATATCCTTAATATTAGCTGGCTATTTTGCCCATTAGTTGATGTAAATTATTCATTGTATTGATGTTCTTTACTTTTTGGTATTTTTTAGAAAGGCTGATACTGTTTGTTCCTTTCTATGTGTAGTGGTTCTTTCAGAAGCTCTTGTAGAGCAGGCCTGGTGGTGATGAATTCTCTGAGTGCTTGCTTGTTCACAAAAAACTTTATTTTTCCTTCACTTATGAAGCTTAGTTTGGCTGGATGTGAAATTCTTGGTCGAAAGTTCTTTTCTTTAAGGATGTTGAATATTGGTCCCCACTCTCTTCTGGCTTGTAGGGTTTCTGCTGAGAGATCTGCTGTAAGTCTGATAGGCTTCCCTTTGTGGGTAACCTGACCTTTCTCTCTGGCTGCCATTAGTATTTTCTCCTTCATTTCAACCCGGGTGAATCTGACGATTATGTGCCTTGGAGTTGCTCTTCTTGAGGAATATCTTTGTGGTGTTCTCTGTATTACCTGGAGTTGAATATTATCCTGCCTTACTAAGTTGGGAAAATTTTCCTGAATAATATCCTGAAGCATGTTTTCCAGCTTGGATTCATTCTCTTCGTCACATTCAGGTACACCTATCAAGCGTAGATTAGGTCTTTTCACATAGTCCCATATTTCTTGGAGACTTTGCTCATTCCTTTTTATCCTTTTTTCTCTAATCTTGTCTTCTAGTTTTATTTCATTGAGTTGGTCTTCGACCTCTGATATCCTTTCTTCTGCTTGATCAATTCGGCTGTTAAAACTTGTGCATACTTCACGTAGTTCTCGTATTGTGTTTTTCAGCTCCATCAATTCACTTATTTTCCTTTCTACATTTTGTATTCTTGTTAACATTTCGTCAAACCTTTTTCAAAGTTCTTAGTTTCTTTAGATTGTGTTAGAACAAGTTCTTTTAATTCACAGAAGTTTCTTATTATCCACGTTCTGAAGCCTGCTTCTGTAATTGGAACCCACTCGTTCTCCATCAAGCCTTGTTTCGTTGCTGATGAGGAACTGGGATCCCCTGCTGCGGAAGAGGCGTTCTGATCTTGGGTATTCTCAGCCATTTTTGACTGTTTTCTTCCCTTCGTTGTAGATTTATCCATCTGTGGTCTTTATAATAACCGTCTTTGTAATTGGGTTTCTGAGTGGACGTCCAACTTATTGATTCTCAGCGCCGAAATCTGAGCAACCCACTGCGCCGACTAAATCAGCGGCGTTAAGATTGATGGTGCTTTTCTGACTCTGCACCAAGAACCGACGCTCCAAGGCGCCGGCAAAACCGCCTCGCCGGTCACAAGAGTCGCGCTGGCGACCCGTGGGGCTCCTCTGCTGGGAATCTCCTGGTGCGTGAGCAACAAGAATTCATGTGAAGGTGTGGCATTCTCTTGTTCTTTGCGTTTTCACTGGGAGCTACAATCCCGAGCTGCTAGTGATCAGCCATCTTGGATCTCTCTCCTAGAATTATAGATCATTCTATTATAAAGACATATGTACATGTATGTTTACTGCAGCGCTGTTCACAATAGCAGAGACTTGGAACCAACCCAAATGCTCATCAATGATAGACTGGATAAAGAAAATGTGGCACATATAACACCATGGAATACTATGCAGCCATAAAGAAGGAAGAGTTTATGTCCTTTGCAGGAACACAAATGAAGCTGGAAACCATCAGTCTCAGTAAACTGACACAACAACAGAAAACCAAACACTGCATGTTCTCACTCATAAGTGGGTGTTGAACAATAAGAACACATGGACACAAGGAGGGGAACATCACAACTTGGGGCCTGTCAGGGGATGGGGGATAGGGAAGGGGTAGCAGGGGATGAGGTAATAGGGAAGGGATAGCATTAGGAGCATTACCTAATGTAGATGACAGGGTGATGGATGCAGCAAACCACCATGGCACGTGTATACTGATGTAACAAACCTTCACGTTCTGCACATGTACCCCAGAACTTAAAGTGTAATAATAAAAAAGAGAATAAATAAATACATACATACAAACGCACATGAAAGACTCATCATATCATGGCCCTCTTCTCAAAACTGTCCTCCAACTCTTCATCCAACTCAGAGCAAAGATCAGATCCAACCCCAGTCCCCTGAAGCCATACCACTGACCTCATCAAGCTTCTCTCTGTCTAGTCCTCCTGGCCTCCTTGCTCTTCTGCGAACATAAACACCTTCCTGCCTTAGTGCATTTGCATGGAGGTCCCCTGCTTAGAAAGAACTTCCCCAGACATCCTCATGTCCCTCAAATCTTTCCTCAAAGGCCACTTTTGCAACAAGGCACACACTGACCACTTTTGTGCAACAGCAACCTTCCCTGTCCTCACTGCCCACATCCTGGATCACCTGCCTCACAGCACTTCCCACTTTCTAGCACTTTCCTTCCTTACTCTGCTTATAGTGTATCTATTGTCTGCCTCTTCCCGCTGAAACACATGCTCCACAAGGTAGGAGATTTTTCTGATTTTACTTCAATAGTGTTCCCCAGATGCAGAATCATTCTCCTATGTCTGGCAGACAACAAAGGTCAGTTGAAAGAATGATCACTGTAGAGCACCTCACTATTCTAAAGACAGTGTCTTTGTTAACACAGACTCAGGCCAAGTGCTGTTTTGTGGCAGCTACAGCACAAGGTCTCCTCACACTGATATCGCGGCCACCTGTGCTTTTCTCAGCAGGGCTGCTTGTGGTGTCCCACCTCCAACCCTCCTCCCACACCAGCCCTCCCCCACCCCCGCCGCACATTGCAGCACATAATCAGGTTTCTCTCTTCAGGGAGGAACAGTCCTTCATGATGGATCCAATTTCACAAACAAATGTAAGTCTAAATTAGCCTCTACTTTAGATTCACGAGTTGGGATTGGAGCCAACACCAAGATCACTGGAACCAGGGCAGGGAGAGAGGGCAGGAGAGCAGAGCAGAAGAGGAGCCCTAGAAGGAGGGTGGGAGCTGAATGGGTCTGAAACTTTGTCTCAGAAAAACTCCTGTGTGCAGTGGCTGCCCTTGGTGATGTATGAGCCTCTGAGGTCACAGCTTTTGCTGGATAAGTTTCAACTGACAGGACAAGGACAGTGGAGCAGTGAAGCTGACCCAACTGAGGACTGACTACATAAAGACCATGATGGACTCAACAGCAACTGGGCACAGGCCCCACCCACACTCGGCTCCTCACAGCCTTCTCCACCCCCACCTGCAACAGACTTAGCTCAGTGAACATGTGGATTCTGGAAGGTTCTCAGGTCTTTATTTCCTCTCTCAAATTTTAGGAATTGACTTATTAATCCATCAACCTTGAATGGCAAATATTTGAGAAAACACATTTGTTTTCAGATTCTTATTTTCAGTAAGAAAGTAAGAGGTTGCAGCTCAGTGCACCATGAAGCTCAGACAGAGATGGAGACACAACTCTCTGGTACAGGAAAGATGACTAGGAAAGGAACACAGGTCAGCATGGGGACAGGGGTCACAGTGGACACAGGGTGGACTGTCTCTCCACTTCCTCACATTATGCTAACAGGGACACAGACACATTCAGATGCCTTTGCAGAAAGAGATCCCAGAGGCTCTTGAAGTCACAAAGGGGAGGCGTGAAGAAATCCTGCATCTCAGTCCCACACAAACAGCTGTCTCAGGCTACAGAAAACAATAGTCATGAACAAATTCATGTCAGTCATGGTAAGTGATGACACTCTGAACAGCCGACTATACACTCAAAACGTCCCGATCAAAGAATCCCCATAACCCAGGCTTTTCCCTTCTGCCCCATCCCCTGCCTACTTCAGGCTCCCCCAGGGTCTCACCTTTTCATGCCGTGAGAGACACATCAGAGCCCTGGGCACTGTCGCTGCCTGTGGTAGAACAAAAACAAGACCTGGTCAGAGCCGGCAGGAGACGTGGGCCAGGAGGAATTACGGGGTGGGTGACTCCTCCACACTCCCGCCCTCACTTACATGCAGCCTGAGAGTAGCTCCCTCCTTTTCCACCTGTGGGAAGAAAATGTCCTGTGAGGGGACAGGGAGGAGGCAGTGCCATGAGATTTTAGAGGAACCTCCTAGTCTTAGACCCAAGAGAAGTTTCCGGAACTATGACTATGGACCCAGGAAGGGTAAGGAAACACGAGGAAAGCAGGTGTGGGTCCTGGACCAACCACCCTCCTAAGGTCTGTCCTTAGTAGGGACCTTCCCTGACTTGTGACTGCTGGAATCAGGTCCCCAACACCACAATCATCACTGTGATACACCTGTCCTTCATTGTCATACCTGCTTCACAAAAGAGTAAGTGCTGGCACACAGGGCCCCCAGGCTGTGTGCACATGGTCCATGTGTGGATAGTGATTCCCAGCAGTGAGGCAGGACACACTTCTACCTGGGGCTTGAAACCTCCAGTGGGACAAGAAAACCCAGACCCCACCCCTCACCCCTTCCCTACCTGAGCTCTTCCTCCTCCACATCACAGCAGTGACCACAGCTCCGATGACCACAGCTCCTAGGACAGCCAGGCCAGCAATGATGCCCACGATAGGGATGGTGAGCTGGGAAGACGGCTCTGGGAAAGGAGGGGAAAGTGAGGGGCCCTGACCCTGCTGAAGGCTCCAGAAGGGCTCCTGCTTTCCCTGAGAAGAAACATGACCCCCCATCCCCCTCCTTACCCATGCCCCTCCATACCCCATGTCAGGGTGAGGGGCTCCAGCAGCCCCTCGTGCTGCACATGGCACGTGTATCTCTGCTCTTCTCCAGAAGGCACCACCACAGCTGCCCACTTCTGGAAGGTTCCATCCCCTGCTGGCCTGGTCTCCACAAGCTCCATGTCCTGAGTTTGGTCCTCCCCATCCCGCTGCCAGGTCAGTGTGATCTCCGCAGGGTAGAAGCCCAGGGCCCAGCACCTCAGGGTGGCCTCATGGTCAGAGACGGGGTGGTGGGTCACATGTGTCTTTGGGGGATCTGACAGGAAGAGTCAGAAAATTCAGGCACTTTGCATCTCTCATGGGACATCCCAGCAGCACCCATGTGACCATCCTGAGAATGAACAGGACACCTCGGGTGGGGAAGGGAGCACAGAACCCAGACACCAGCCTGGACACAGGCACCTGGGATAATCTCCTATTCTGTGGAAAGTTCTAGTCTCTGAGGGAGGAACTGCGACTTCTGGTCCTGACCTGAGTGCAGTCTAAGGGACTCAGAAAAGCTGGAATCAGACCTTCAAACACATTTGAGTGTGAGGCAGAGAACAAGGCCTGAGAGAAAAAGTCACGGTGCCCAAGGTGGCTGCAGGAGTCAAAGGGGACCCCTACTCAGTATTCCGGGGACTTTCTTCCCCTCCATTTCCTCAGAGACGTCATCCCTTAATTGTCCTAGAGAGCAGAGGGGGCCTCAGAGGAAAGTCAGGAAAACTCATGCCATTCTCCGTTCAAGGGAGGGCGATATTCTAGCTAGCTCTGATCCCATTTTCTTCTCCTCCTCGTGAGAGGCCATCCCGGGAGATCTACAGGAGATGGGGAAGGCTTCCCACTGCCCCTGGTACCCGCGCGCTGCAGCGTCTCCTTCCCGTTCTCCAGGTGTCTGCGGAGCCACTCCACGCACGTGCCCTCCAGGTAGGCTCTCCTTTGCTCGGCCACACTGGCCTCCTCCCACTTGCGCTTGGTGATCTGAGCCACCATGTCCGCGGCGGTCCAGGATCGCAGGTCTTCGTTCAGGGCGATGTAATCCTTGCCGTCGTAGGCGCGCTGTTCATACCCTCGGAGGAAGCGCCCCTCGGGCCCCACCTCGCAGCCGGACATTATCTGGATGGTGTGAGACTCTGGCCCCGCCCCCGCGGTCAGCCCCGCCCACCGAGCCCCGCCCCCGCCCCGACCAACCCGCGGGGATTTTGGCCTAAACTGAAAATGAAACTCGGTAAAGGCGCCTGGGACTCTCCCGGGTCGAGGGTCTGGGCGGGTCCCGCAGCATCGGGGTGGACCTCGGACCCGGACACTGGGAGAGATCCAGGCGGTGCTTGCGCGATGGGGAGGGGTCGTGACCTGCGAACCCGGCCGGGGTCACTCACCGGCCTCGCTCTGGTTGTAGTAGCCGCGCAGGGTCCGCAGGTTCACTCGGTCATTCTGCGCGCGGGCCTTGGCTCTCCGTGTCTCCCAGTCCCAATACTCCGGCCCCATCTGCTCCGCCCACGCCGACTGCGGCTCAGCTCTCGGACTCCCGGCGTCGCTCTCGAACCGCCCGAACTGCGTGTCGTCCACGTAGCCCACGGCGATGAAGCGGGGCTCCCCGCGGCCGGGCCGGGACACGGCGGTGCTGAAATACCTCAGGGAGTGGGAGCCTGGGGGCGAGGAGGGGCTGAGATCCGCCCGACCCTCCTCCCGCCGCGGCTCCCCGGGTCCAGCGCCCCAGTCCGGCGGGCCCCTCGCTCCTCCCCACAGAGGCCGTTTCTCTCCCGACCCCGCACTCACCCGCCCGGGTCTGGGTCAGGGCCAGGGCCAGGGCCAGGGCCCCCGATAGCAGCAGGAGGAGGGTTCGGGGCGCCATGACCCCATCCTCGGCGTCTGGGGAGACTCTGAGTCCGGGTGGGTGACTGGGGACTTTGGAACCGGGACCGCGGCGACGCTGATTGGCTTCTCTAGAAACCCGGCACCCAATGGGAGTGGGAACTGGGGAGGCGTCACGAGTATCCAGGAAGAAGGACCCGACACAGGTTGGAAGTGAAACTCAGGGGACTGGGGAATCCCCAACGCTGCGCCTCCCCAGTGCAAAGGCCCTCCGTGCCGGTGCCAGAGACAGTAAGAACTACGCCTAGGACCTGGGACTTTGTCCTGATCCCTCTTCTCCTACACCAAGCCTCTTTGTCACACTGTCTGCCAGAGTCTTGGCCAAGGATCTGTCTGTGGAAACCAGGGAGAGACCCCCAGGCTGCGCCCAGCCCCTTCCCCTTCACTTCTCCTCCTGGAATCCCCGACCCTGAACTGGACTCCCCGCCTCCCACTCCTTACCTCTCCCCTTGGACTCTTGTACAAGGAAACTCACCACGGGGAACTTGACTCCAGAGAGTGAGCTCGCCCTGGGAATGGAGGTGTAGACAGGGGTTTTCTCTTTAAACCTGGTGAAGTTTTGTCTGAAGGCACCAGATGGAGATTCTCAAAGAGACCAGTTTCTTTTGTGTTTATTAATACGGTAGGTAGCACAATATTGTAATCCCTGAATGATTAGAATTCCAATCTGTAAAAGACCTGCGTCAAAACAGCTTTACAATTAAACTCGCAAAGCTCCTAAGTTTTACTTTCCCAGACTATGGAATGTGACTCTGGTTGTTGCATTTAAAATTATCTTCATTCCCTTCCTCGAGTTTCCCTGTGTGAGTCTAGAATATCTCCTGAATACAAAGAAGCGGGTTTGTTACTGTGTATTGAACCGGGAGCCTGTAGTCACCACCTCAAAGTTGCGAGTGCTCCATGCAGCCCCAATGCTCTTCACCGAGGCTCCAGCACTGCCTGCTTTCCTGAGCTATGCACATCTAAGCAGTGTGCATATTTTATTCGGACACTTGGTATTTCTGTAACCTTGTTTTTTAATTATGAGGAAGCCATTAGTTTTTAGGCTGTCCCACACAAAATGCACTAAATACCAACTGCAAAGAAACCCCTGCTAGGCTCTTCCATGGCTTTAAAATTCTTTCCCCTGCTCCTTTTCCTCACCTCCTGCTTCTCCAGCCCTTCTCTCTGTCCCTGTCATCCCTCACACCCTCCCCTCCCCTTAGTCCCCGACACCCTGTCACTCCTGAATTGTGGCACTAACACCGTCCCTCACTTCCTGCCCATGTCTGTTCTCCCCACAGTGCTCAGCAGTCCTGCTAATGTGACTCAGGTCCTGTCATTTCTTCACTTACAATGGTTGGATTGTGGTCTACCATTTTGCTACATGTTTTCAATTAGTCTCATATCTTTTCTGTTTCTTTTCCTCCTCTGATATTTTCTTATGTGTTAAGGAAACATTTTTTATGTGGTTTTAATTCTCCTAGTAGCTTTTAGCTGTATTTCTTTACACTAATTTTTTATCGTTGTAAGAATGGAAACTCGATTCCTTGACTTTTCACAGTGAAGTTCAGGTAATATTAAGATGCTTCCAGCGAAATAAAGGACACTCGAAATGGTATAGTGTCATTTAACCTATCATTATGCTGTTGTTGTTGTATATATTACATCAATATACATTATAAACTCAATGATACAGTGTAATAGTTTTTGATTTAGACAAGCAGCCATATGTCTTCAGGAAATTAAGAAAATGGTGTGATATGTGTGTGTGCATCATTTCTGTTGTTAATTGTTCCTTTTTGTGTATCTGGGTCACCAACTAGTATCATTTCCCTTCAGCCTGAAGAACTTTCTTTAAAATTACATGTAGTACAGGAACCCTAGTAAATAAAATATATGTTTTTGATTATCTAAAAATGTCTTTATTTTTGCCTTCTTATCCCCACATGCCTTTTTTTTTTAAATGCTTATTAGGGCATTTTTGTATAATAAAATTTACCAGGTTTAGCTGCGCTTTTTGGTGAATAGTGGTAATTATTTGTAGTTGTGTAACTATCACACCGGTCAGTAGAGAAACACCACATGCAAAGAACCCCCTGCCAGGCTCCCCCACTGCTTTAGAGTCCTTTCCCCTGCTCCTTTTCCTCACCTCCTGCTTCCCCAGCCCTTCTCTCTCTCCCTCATGCCTCACACCATACTCTCCTCTCAGTTCCCACTGCCCAGTAACTCTCAAATTGTGGCACTGGAGAGAACAGTTTCTTTTTCCTAAAAACTTTCTGTCCCTTTCTATTTAATCCCTGGCTCCTACCCTCACCCCTTCCCTTCACTCAACCACTGCTCTGCTTTCTGTCACTGCAGTAGTGAAATTTCTAGAATTTCATGGACATGTGATCATATGTGATGAAGTCCTTTGTTTGGTCTCTCACTCAGCATAACAGTGTTTGAAATGAGACCATCCAGTCATTTTTTGTTACTGAGCAGCTGCTGAGTATTGCTGGAATCCCAGTTTACTCATTGGTTTCTCTATTCTCCAGTTGATAAACATGTGGATTACTCCAGTTAAGGTGTGTTACTAATGAAGCCACTATAAATAACTGCTCACAAGTGTGTCCTTACATTTTTATTTCTTTTGGATAAGTACATATTTGTGGGATTACTGGATCACGTGGTAATGGATGGGCAGCTGTACATTTTTTGCATTTCTACCAGCAATATCAGACATTCCTGTTTTTTTCACATTCTTGCCAATATTTAGACTTATCACATGTCTTTTTTTAACATACCTATTCTAGGTGATGTGTGGTGGTTTCTCATTGTGGTTTTAAGTTGTACTTCTCTGATGACTGGTATGGTTTGCTGTCTTCTCAGGTTCAACTAACTGACTTGACTTAGTACATATATTTTATGAACTATTTAGCAAATTCAATGATTAATTTTAGAAACTTTTCAGAATCCCCTGGTGTTTCCTACATGTGCAGTGAAGTAGGTGACAAAGAAAGACTTTTATTTCTTTCTTTCCTAGCTATTAATCTTTTTTCTTTTAAAATTATTTTTATTTGGTGGAAATGAGGTCTCATTACCTGGCTTGTCTCAAACTCCTGAACTCAAGTGATCCTCCCAGGTCTGTCTCCCAAAATGCAGGGATTATAGGCAGGAGCCACCAGGCCTGGTCCTTTTGTTGGTCTTTTATTTCATTTTCTTGCCATGTTGCACTGGTTAGGATGCCTGTTACGTCTCACAAGAATGATGAGAGCTCACATCTTCATTTACAAGGAACTTAAAAAAACTTACAAGAAAAAGGAAACAACCCCATCAAAAAGTGGGCAAAGAATATGAACAGACACTTCTCCGGAGAAGACATTTACATGGCCAGGAAACATATGAAAAAAAAGCTCAATAACACTGACTGTGGGAGAAATGCAAATCAAAACCACAGTGCAATATTATCTCTCTCCAGTCAGGATGGCAATTATTAAAAATTGAGGAGACAATAGATGCTGGCAAGGCCGTGGAGAAATGGGAACACTTTCACACTGTTGGTGGGAATGTAAACTGGTTCAACCATTGTGGAGGACAGTGTGGCCCTTCCTCAAAGATCTAGAACTAGAAATACCATTTTGTGGGGAACGCTCCCGTGTGAAGCCCCTCGTAAACTGGGTTTCACCATGCAGTGAGTTTGAGCCCAGACACGGAACCTCCGGTTGGGGGAAATCTAGCTAAGGGAAAGCAGGGACAGAAAGGAGAATTAGAATAAAAAGAAATACCTGAGGACAATCACCAGATGGTCATGCGGTCATAAGACGCATTGTGTCCCTTAACTCAGTTCTTTCTCAGTAAATAGGTGATTGCATTTACCAACCCCCTAAGAATGTAACGACTAACTTTTTGTACTAACCCCCTAAGAACATAATGGCTAACTTCTTGTTAAGATAAAGAGTCACCTGCTTAGTTTGATTGTCTAGCTGGCTCTTCCATTGCATAAGATAATGAGATCCACCTGCTTAGTTTGATTGTCTGGCTGGCTCTTCCATTGTATAAGATTATAAGACCCACCTGCTCGGTCCCATTGTATATCTGATCTTTCCGTTTTGCCCCTTTGATGATGTTGTAACTTGTTTTTCTACTATGAAGACTTTCTGTTCTCTTTATTTCATGAAACTACGCAAGCAAATACCTAAAATATAAGCTGACCCTGAGACAATAAAGTTGGTGGTGAAGCACTGTCTTCTCATCCCTCCAGACTCCATTTTTCTGTCATTCTTTGTCTTACATGCACTCCCCTATCCAGGTTGGAACCCTCTTGCTGGCCAAGAGTTCCTGGCAGATGTGCCCCCCGAAAAAGTGTGCCCCCGAAAGAGTGGCAACCACAAAGGGATTTGGACATTGGGGACATCGGTGACGCTCGAGAGTGAGGCTGCAGCGCTAAGTTTAAAAGTAAGTTTGTCAGTTACTGTAAGTTTTTCTTTTAATTTGCTGTATTATATTCTAAATTTGTCATAGTCGTACGTGTGTTAGTTTTTCAATTTTTAATTTAGGGTGGTGTATAAACATTTCATCTGAAGTAAAAATGGGGCAACTTGAGTCAAAAGAACATAAACTGTTTGCACAATTGTTACAGTCTATGATGAAGTCTCAGGGTCATGAAATAAAAATTAAAATGCTGGAGGATTTCTTACAGATAATTCGTGAAATTTGCCCATGGGTACCTGAAGGTCGTGTTTTGGATGAACCTACAGGGCAAGTGATTGGGGAAAAAATTGAACAATTTTGTTTTTATAATAAGGAATTACCTCAATCTAATGTTTTACTCTCTGTGTGGAGCAAACTACGTGGTTTTGTCTGTTCTTCCTGTTAGGTAGAAAGGGCCCATTCCCCATGCCCGGGACCCACATCCAGCGGACCGCCTCCGGAGCCCATCCCCTCTTGCCACATGGCTCTTCCTTCTTCTTTGTTTAACCTCCACCAGTCACTCCATAACACCTCACCTGTACTCCCCACCTTAGCCCGCCAAAGCTAAGCCAATCCCTGCACTCCACAATACTCCCCCTTCGCCCATGCCCAACCGCCACCAATCACTTCACAAC